TCCATGTGGAGACCCTGGTCAGACACRTAGTGTCCTAAGAAATCCACTTTGTGCTGGGCAAAGCGGCACTTGCTAAGCTTGGTGTAGAAGCCATGTCTACGCAAGCAGTCAAGGACGTCGCGGAGGTGTCTGAGGTGCTCCTCAAGGGTACGATTATAGACCAGGATATCGTCGAGGTAGACGAGAACGTACTGCTCCAGGATGTCCCTGAAGATGTCGTTTATCGCCCTCTGGAAGGTAGCGGGTGCATTGGTGAGGCCGAATGGCATTACCGTGAACTCGTAGTGGCCGAATCGCGAGCGGAACGCGGTCTTCGGCTGGTCGGTTGCAGCGACGCGGATCTGATGGTAACCGCTACGAAGATCAATCTTCGTAAAGAAGTGGTTGCCTGCTAGGCGGTCGAACAGCTCATCGGAACGAGGCATGGGGTCGCTGTTCTTAACCGTGTAGCGGTTAAGGCCGCGGTAGTCGATGCACAGACGAAGAGTTCCATCCGCTTTGCAAGCAAAGAGGACGGGTGCACCCCACGGGGAGTTGCTGGGTTTAATGAAACCCAGTCTCAGGAGCTCCTCAAGCTGACGCTTGAGTTTGGTGGCCTCGGGGATCGAGAGTCTGTAGGGTGCCTGGTGGTGAACACGATATTCAGGCACGAGCTAAATGGAGTGCTCGATGTCACGCATCGGTGGGATGCCAGCGTACGAGAACGACGATGGGAAAACGTCGTGGTACTCTCGGATGAGGTCACGAACTGCGGGCTCCAAGTCAGCCGTATATCGTGCGAGTTCCTCAGCGTCAGCGTCAGCGCGCGACGGCGGGGTGGACTCGACGGACGGCGGAGGGACGGAAGTAGAGATGGGAGCCATGGAGATAGAGGGGGGATCTGGGTCCAGAGGGATGAGCTCGGCGTCGGGACAGGGTGGATCATAGTGTAAGAGATCTGTCACATCCACCATAAAGAAGGTGACGTCGTCCTGTGGAATGAAGTGAGCGAACTGCCGAGGCGAGGTAACAGTGATAGAGGGAGATGGTGTGGGCACTGAAGGCTCCGGGGGAGAAGGATCGGGGCGTGGTATCGTCGTGGTACCTATGAAAGGTACGCGATACGTCTGTCCACACTTCGTTTTGAGAACGAGAGTGTTGGTTGCCCAATCGGCCTCGGTGCTGCGGAACCGACGAGACCACGGAGTGCCGAGAATGAAGTCGTACCCCGTCTCCATCACATCGAAATGTCCAGAGGAGCGGTGGCGACGAGACGTCGGGAAACGCTCAGTCGGTTCGAGAGTGAGGAAGAAGGGGAGGTCGGTGACCGTCTGATCGAAGAAGCGCTGGGTCTTGTCATCCCCTAGGGTAACGGAGATGGGAGTCGGAGACCCWGTCGTGGGTAAGCGGGCTTCCTTCACCACGCGTGGGTGAATGAAGTCGCCCTGRGAACCGGAATCCCACAGCGCTGAGTACACCCTCGTGGAGGTCCCGAGTCGTACGGGGATGATCGGGAGGGTGCGATCAGGGTCAGAGAGGATGGCGAGAAGGCGACGCAATGCAGCGACATGGAGGGTGAGTCGCTCCCGACGAGCCTGGAGCATGCTCAAGTCCAGCAGAGAGGACACAACGTCCTTGCGAGTAGTAAGCTGCTCGCTGCAACGGGCTGAGCGAATGGCTCGATGCGTCGGTAGTCGCGGCGGGGAAGGAGGGGAGACGGTGGTCTGCGGAGGCGCAGACAGTACTGCGACAGAGGGCGGAGTACACTCTGTCGAGTCCTGCGATACCTCAACTCCAATAGCGAGAGGGGCGAACCGCGACGGAGATGTC